AAAAGCAAGCAAGGTTGCCACAAAATGCACACCATTTTAGTCCCTTGCAGATTAAAGAGAAATTAATTTCTTCCCTTTTGTCTTTTGACATCAGGCATTCTCTGTCAACTGGAAGAAACACACCCACACATATGCCATATAAATGTAACACCTTCCTATTGTTAGAACTGATATACTCCATTTATTAATTTTACAGAGAATGTAGCAAAGCAACAAAAAATTTTCAGATCCTATATTTTCAGTCCCTTTAGCTTGAGGAGACTCTGATTCTTGCCAGCTCTAAGTCTTTAGCTTGCAGTGAAAAAATACTGATGCCAGAAGGTCCAGCTGATTGCAACTACCTGGCACAAAGATTCTGTCCTCTTTCATCCCTGTACAATAGCCAGTGCACCAGAAGCCAGGAAATTTGAAGGTGTCCCCGCTCATTGCAGAGTGGTTGGGTGAGATGACCTTTAAAGGTCCCTTCCAACCCAAACTATTCTATGATTCTATGATAAATTGAATGTTCCAGGGAGATATATATATCTATATATCTAGAGAGAGAGAGAGAGAGAGAGAGAGTAAACAGCAGAAATAGTCTCCCCGCAAGTGATGAGCCTCTGCAATGGTCTTCCACCACGCAGCTGGCATGCAGCACTTCTCATTCTCAAGGCCCAATATGTACAGCATTGCTGACAGAGTGAAATATTCATCTTCAGTACCAAAATGTCATCCTTAAATAAGAGGAGGAGTGGTTTCTAGCTGGTTTGCACTCCTCAGCTAGCACAGAACAAATATTTGGGCATTCACCTTATGTAAAGGGAATGCCTGCAGGAGAGCAGCAACACTGCCTCTCCCTTCACTCGTGCTGTGCAAAGGAGGCATTAGAAGAAAAGGAGAGGGAGGGCTGGAGTTCCTCCAAACTCTGGTGATTCCTGTATAACAGAATTTGTTATAAACTAACCTGGTCATCCAATTGTAAGCTTATGTTGGATAGCAATAAATCACCCCAAAGGCTCATGTTAAACAGTCCCCTTTCAGTATTAAGCCTTGAAATGCATGGCTAATAATTTCTTATTCTTGAGGATGTAATAACCATTTTTATTAACAAAGCTAAAAACTCTACAATTTAAGAAACTGACTGCCTTTCTTCATTAGTACATTGGTACTACCTAGTTTTCCTCGTCTGCATCAGTTTTCCTCAGTAATGCCACTGCTTTAACAGGGCTTACTTCTGATTTGCACCAGTATAACTAAACAGAAATCATACCAGTTTGCATGAATAACTCTCCCTCCCCACTGCCTGCAAATGACCTGCTGAGAAGAGATAAAAGCACGACATATATTGAATAAATGAACATTCAATGCCATCTGCTGGAGTATACAAACCTCTGCAATACCAGGCTCATTCAATATTCAGAACTTAAAATAACAATAGTGACAAATGTAAAGAGACTGTTTAGATAAAGGCTGGCTTCTTTCAAAACACAGCTGGAAGGGAGGGTTGTGGGATGATGCCCATCCCTCACACACTTCAATACAGGGTACAACACCTGGGCAAGAAGCGGGTCTGGTTTTAACTCTCTCCTTGGCATAAAAGGGTTTCAGTCCACAACTGTCACTTCTTCCTAAGCATTAGAGCATGCTGTAATTATACGTTATATGTTAGGCTTAATAGAAGGACTTTCATGCTCTGATTTAGAAATCGGGTTATTATGTAGCCACACATGCAAGATTTGTGAGGCTACAGGCATCCTAAGCAAGGATTGCTTCAACAGTCCAGAACAACAGCACGTACTGGGCAAGGACATACTGTCTGTTTTACATTGAAATCACTGGATTAAATGTGTAAATCAGGTTAAGGGTAGAATTTGGGAGTCTCCTCTCAAGTGAATTCACTCTCCTGTTCATCAGCTCTTTGGCCTTGTAACTCATGCTCTCCTGGCTATACGATGGGCAGACAGCCACTACCTAGCCTGTGTTTATAGCCTGGTAGTTGGAGTGTTCTCAGTTTGGGGAAACGTGAATTTGGAGCTTCTCAAGATGAAACCAGAACACCAATTTCCTGAGTGCTGTGCTACTACAGAAAAGACATCAGCACAACTAACTTTTCTGCTCAGTTTTGAAAGCAGGAGGTCTTCTGCCGCTAAAGGAGCAAGATATTTTTCTATTCAGAACAGGGATTTCCAGAGCAGGATCCCCAAGCTCACCAGGGTGAGCCCTTACAGTTCTGCACCAAGCAGCAAAACTCAGAAGAGAGAGAGGAATTCAAGCACATCCTTCTTTCGGTCTTATCTTTGGGCAGACTTAAACATGCTTGCTAGTGGTTGTGAATCCCATTTCCACAAGCTACTTCCTCATGCATTGTATAGGTCAACAAACTCATTGGTGGGTTTGCTTCATATCCTTTGTTTTAGTATCTGTAGAATACTGTGCAGCTGGCAGATTTTTATTCCTTCATATGTTATTAGTTATTGTATCATTTTCTACAGAATTACACCCGCTGACATTTTTTCCTCCATTTCATACAGAATACAGAAGAACTATTCCTGCTAATACCTATAATTTTGTAAGTATCACACCGTTATTCCTAAAACTTTACTTTTCTTTCCTTTCCTATGTGTGTTAATATCATCTTGGCTATATTACTGGTAACAGAAAATGTAATCCTCACTGTTTGTTAATACAAAAGAAAGCATGAGAATTGCAAAGTATGTATGAGAACTTCTACTTTGTTTTAGTGGGAGCTAGATTAGAGAAGTGACTCACTAGTCAATTCTCCATTTACAATCTGCATCTAAAATATACCTTTATGATAAGATGATGTGAAAATAACAGGAGTCAAGATGAACAAGTAGATAAGTCATAAACCTCAAAGTTTAATATGTAACCAATGTAAATAAAAGCTGAAAAGCTAACAGTACACATTTTGATGTCTTCCCATTTGTATCTGAAAGCTGTCTTTGAGTTTCAGCTCAGGCATATAAGAAAAGAGAGCAAATGCCTTACAAGCCAGAGAAAGATGAAAAGAAAGCACAGGTCTATTGCTTAATAAGCAAGTTGAACAAGTAAAGAATGACTGAAGAAGGTTGATGAAATCATACTTTGACTGCTTCAGGTTTCATAGAAAAGTTAATTACAGTCAGACACTATATGGGATTAATACCAACTAGAAGGTAGTAATAGTGCAGAGCAAAACAGGAAAAGAACAGCCAGAAGAATATTTACTTATGCTAAAGCACTTAAGTATTTGAAGTCATTTCAGAGACATTAATTATCTTTGGAAACACTCCAAGGAGTCCCGAGATCCTAAAGCAATGGAAAAGAACAGTGGTAACCTCAATTTTTTACAGGAAAGCAAGCAAATCCTGAGGGTTCACTGGATACCTGGAGAGACTATTAAACAAAGTCAGCCCAAAAGAATATTTTGGAAATAATTAGTCTTATTATGTCAGAAATTGCTAATGTGAACATGAAGAACATCTCATCAACTCCTCAAACCAGAGTAATTTCCTTCTTGGCAGAAATACAACAATAATGGGGAGAAAGAAAACAGTAGATGTGATATATCTTGATTTTTGTTAGGCCTTTGATATTTCCCAGAAGACAGTCTCCTAAGTAGAAACCTGGAAACCTGGTCTAGATGAAAATGTGTGAAGTGTTTGCACAACTGATTGAAAAAATATCCACCCTCAGCCTAGCTGACAGTAGTCTGCTAGTGAACTGGAAAGAGTTAGGAGCAGAAGAGCCTGCAAACCCAGGTATCCTGCAGGGGTCTGTCTAGGGTGTGGTGGTATTTTTTTCTGTAGTGTTGTAAAAAGGCAAACCTCACCTTGAAATGTACTGTCAAGAACACTTCTTGGAGGTCTGCTTGATGTTGCAATAAAGATGTGTGCAATCTGGAAAGAGTTCACAGGAAAGTAACCCTGGGGATATGAGGTCCAGAATCTTTTAAGCTGGTTGACAACTCAGGGAAGCTTTAAAGAATTGTACTTGCTTAGGGAGAAGACTAGAAGGAAATATAATTATAGACATTAAGCATAATAAAGGTTGAAATAAAGTGGATAGCAATCAATTTCTTAGTGTCCTCAGAGCCTAAAACAAATTAGTTTAATTTGTAGCACTCAGAGAAAAAGCATGAACTGAAAGGACAGTTAACTAATGGAAGAAGACACCTCAGGAAGCTATTGATTCCTCATTACTAGTGAGTTCAAGAAGAGATTAAAACAAATATATGGGAAGATCCAAGTGCGTGGATGCACCTATACTGTCTCTGGTATCAAAATATGATTTACAAAGACACTGTGTACCCTCAACTGAGTTCACTCAGCAGTAATCTCAGCTCTGTGCTGTTTGTGCATGTCTCCTGAAATAAGCCAGCAGTTATGTTCCAGAGTATGTGAGTATGAAGGGTGGATCAGGACTTCAGGAAATAATCTTGAACAAACCTAGTACAAGCGTATCCACACACCCAGGACATCCTGAGTCACTCTCAACACCACATGTCTTTGGACTCCACTGTTCAACACACACTTGCATTCACTCGGACTGCACATTTGCTAGCACAAATTCACCAAAACAGTGCATGTTTTTATTTTAAAGTGTGGCATTTATGATGAGTTAGTTACTATAGTCTTGCAAGTAATATATGTAAACAGCCAGTACAATACAAATACCACATGGATAATATTATAATGAAAGGCACAGTTTCAAATGTCTGCAATGATCATAAAACTAAACACTCGCATTATATTTTCAAGAGTGGTGACAGGCCAAACTGAGAGAGAGAGACCTAAACTGTCTCCCAAATGGCTATTTTATGAATCTAAATAAAAAATTTAGATTCTCAAAACTCTTGTTCCACTACTTTCCAACCCTTCAATTTCCATCTGAAAATTTCCTGTGCACCAAAATGTCCAGTTCTGGTAATCAAATATTTCTAAATCTGAAATTAAGCTTGAAGTTAAATTTATTTGTATTATGTGTGTATCTCTTCTTCTATCCAGAACAAAGACTTGATAATGAAGGGCAAGAGTGACTTACAATCTTCCCCCAAGATACCTGAGGAGGAAGAAGGTGAATACGAGACTGTAAATTCCTCCACTCTGGAGGCCATCCGTGCTTTGAGAATCCTTCCTGCCAAACCTCTACAAGAATCCGAATATGCAGGTAACTTCTGCTGTCTGCAGAAAGTGAGGCAAACCTAGAGGTAAATAGGAACAGTACAGGTTTTCAGTATGGGTATTTTTTAAAATGAAATAGTTTTACTGAAAAATAAAGCACTGGTGGGTAGGAACAGGAGAAGAGCTTTATCTGCATCATATTAAACAATTACCCTTATTTCCATTAGATTATGTTAAATTAATAATTACATGCTGCTTTTGTAATTTTAATGTTACTTTCATAGGAAAAATTCTACAATCTTATTCCACCTGGAATGTGAAAATATGACTGGTCAAACACAAAAGCATTTCAAAAAAGCCCACTGCTCTGCCCAGTAACGATAATGCGGCAGGATACAAGAGTGAGGACAGGTCTGAAAATGTATTTCAGAAAGGCAAAACTCAATGTTAACATCCCATCTTGCCATCTTCCCATGGCAAATAACAATGCCCTTGAGATATAAAATTAATTATTCAAAAAACCATGCTAGGGTACAACCTGTGCATTTCTTTTAGACGGCTATGGGTGCAGTATTAATTAAAACCTAAACTAAAAATTAAAATGCTCTCTAGAGAGCAACCCCCCCACACACCCCTTGCAAAACCAGAACAGCACAATGGCATTGCCAAGAACAAAGGTTCAAATGAAAAACAAATTCAGCAATCTATTCACAATTTAGGTCAAATATCTGCCTTAACTGTGTACCCGTTTATGAAGGCTGGTTTTGTTAACCGCAGTGAGGAGGTTAACCATAAAGCTATTACCAGGGTCACGTTTATGTCCTCAATACAGCTACTAAAATAACGGTTAAGTTCTGAAAAGGAAAAAAAGGCTATAAAAATGGCAAGACCTGACCTGAGAAACATATTTTGATCATTAAAACCTCTTCTTCTTAAAACATAGTATTACTGAATTACTCAGGCTTGCTTTTTCTTCCTCTTTTACAGATAAACGTTTTTTAAGGCCTTCAGGTACCACTTCCCCAGCAAACAGCCAGCACACATCTCAGCCCCCTCATTGCTCAGCTGTAAGTAAAGATCTTAAACACTATTCACAAACAGAGTTCCCCTTTTCTGTAATATTATTTAAAGCTAAGTGCAGTCTATTTAAAGTCTTAGCCATGCAACATTCAACTGTACAAGCTCGCACAAGTTCCTGTGAGCCGTTCCTGTTTCACTTTGCACCAATGTCCTCGCCACTTGCTTTCACTTGTTGACTGCTGGGATCTACCGAGTGTTAGAGGCATCCCAGTCAGGAGCAGGACTGTTTCTACTAACCATAGTTTCAAGGATGATGACTAACATCACATCTTTATTTTGCTTTATTAACAGAAACACACATCTGTTCTGGAGGGGAGGAGCGCGCCAAGTGTTACAGGTATAATAAAACAATCTACCCATTTCTGCAGTCAGAAATAGAAATTGTTGCTTCCATATTTAGCTTATGTACCTAAGCAGAGATTGCACATTATAGAATAGACATGGTTTTCAGAACAGCAGCTGCTTTCCAAAATAATCATACTGCAAATTTTGCAATACTGTCTCAACTATCTAACATTAAAGTAATTATTTATAAAAGGAGACACATTGAATCTCATAAGCTCCCTATTCCTCAACGAGGCGAAGAAAAAAAGCAATTCAATTTAAAAATCAGGTTTTCCTTTTCCCTACAATTATAAGGACATAAAGAGGCGGGGGGGGCAGGTGACATGGGTATTCTGTCTCGTGAACTGTTCCACCAAAAGGCTACAAGATCCCTGCTATGCTTTACTTCTCATGATCTGATGCATTTTGTCTCCCTATCCTCCCAGGCATTTTGTATTAATATAATTTAAAGCATAATCTAGTAACTATTTTTAAATAGTCATATCAACTTTAGCAATTCCTATTAAGGTTATACATCCTTAGGTATCTATTTACAAAAGCTATCTGACAATGTTTTCCACTAAGAATATGTTTAATTATGTGGTATATCACCTAGCATATATTTTTTATCCCCTACTTTAACTGTAAGTTTGCTACAGTATCCTATAATTGAGTCACAAATACACCTTTAATTTTTGTTCATTCTATTTTGTTTCTTGTGGTGAAATCAGAGAGACTGGGATCTTATTTTTCAAGAATCTAATGAGGTGTCTAATTGTTAAATTCTTTAACTGATGGTTTTACTCAATCATAAGATTATTTTAAAAGTAGGTTTCCATATACTTTTCTAAATATTTTTTTATATATTTGATGTACTTTAGATGTAGCAATTATCTCATGAAGTCAACTACTGCAGGATTATATATCTGATTAACCTTGAAAAGGAATTACGTTTTTTCTTTACCACTTTCAAATCTTTGACTCATATGCTAAATATGGTCAAAAAGAATGCAGATGACGAGCCAGGAAAATACGATTATTTCTATGTTTGCTATAATGGCTGATTTTCAGAGAGTAAGTATAATATTTGATCAGCCAGAAAAATAATGCAAAAGAATCCATGCAAAGCAGAATTTGGGATTGGTTATTTTTCCTTTTAGTTCATCCTATAATAGAAAACATAGAGCCAAACAATTCCTACAGATTATGAGAGAGCACTATCAAGTTTGCAAAATGAAAGGTTAGGTTGACTTGTCTGAGCAAATCCCAATGTAGCTTGTAAAAAAGCTGAATTGAGAGGAATTCGAGTAAATCAGTTTCAAAATCTGCCAAAAGTGGTAGGCAAGGTCCCACTGACAGTTTGCCAGTTTAGCTAAAGCTTCAAATCCAGGATTTAGTAGGTTGGATTTAGATGGTTTTCTGCCTCCATGGTATGTGTGCTGACATTAAGAAAGATGAACCAAAGACAATGCAGGCAGGTAGATTAAACTGCAGTTTGAGAATGCAACTTACACTTATTTTTAGTACATCCTGAACTAATAGTGCTTAGAGAGGACTCTTATTTTTAGATAATGACAACACTGTTATTAAACGTATCTTAACATTTATTCTCATACCCAGTGCTGTTAAGTGGCTTTGCCACAAGATGGCATGAACAGCACAAAAGAATTTTTGTCAAAAGATATTTTCTAGAATTGTTAAACATTTAAGGTACCATTACTGTATTCAGAGCAATTTGTTATAGTTTACTTGAAGAAGAACTTAAGATATCTTGCATCTCTTTTTGGATTTGTTAGGATTTCAGTATGTAGAATTTATGAAAATATTTTCAAAATCAAAATAGAGTAATATAGGTTTTTAATTAGTAAGATCTCCTATGTTCATTCAAATAATCAATCATATTTGGCTAAATTTGAAAAAAAAAAAAAAAATTACTTTCATTGCTTTTCGAAATTTTTATAAATTTCTATTAAAAAACCAAAACAGGCAAAAAATGCATCCCAAAAAACTTGATAAGCATACATATAAAGTCTCTGAATAATATTTACATTTACAATACCTGAATATCACCCTCAAATCTTTCATTCTGAAAGCCAGAAGTAAAACCAAAGTTCACTCTGTTCTATCAAGTATCGTGACAATTTTTTCATTTCCTTTATTTTATAATTTAAGATGAAAAAATTAAAAATATTTGGGTTTTTTCCTGCTTTAATTTTAACTGATTCTTAGTTATGTCTCTGTTGTGGTTTAAACCCAGTCAGCAGCCAAGCACCACACAGCTGCTCACTCTCTCTCCCCCATGCCCCAAGGGAGAAGGGAGAGAATTGGAGGGTAAAGGTAAGAGGACTCATAGGTTGAGATAAAAAGTTTAATAACTGAAATGAAAAAAAATTAAGATAATAATGATAATAATAATCATAATAATATACAAATAAGTGATGCCCAATGCAAGTGATGCCCAGCCCATTCCCAGCTAGTGATCCCAGAGGAGGGAAAATCCTGAAACTGCAATCCTGGAAGACAGAGACAGCTTCCCAGCCAGCCTTCATCTATCAGCATGATGTTATACCATATGGAATATTCCATCGGCCAGTTTGGGTCTGGTGCTCTCTCTGATCCCTCCCAGCTTCTTATACACCTGCACATGGACAGGACATGGGAAGCTGAGATGTCCTTGATCTCTTAGCAACAACTAAAACCATCTGTACATTATCCATATTCTTCTCATACCAAATCCCATACTGGATCCAAAACACGGCACTATTCTAGCTACCAAGAAGGAAAATTATCTCTATCCCGGACAAAATCAGGACAGTCTCATGAAATGATTGTTTGTGAGGGATATTAAAAAGATTTATTGTCTACAACACAGGAAGATTCTCAACACCTCTATGACTGCCATCATTATCTAAGTACACTTAGTCTTGTGTTTTATATGGAGAGAAGCACAAAAGGTTGGAATAAATTGCACCTGAATCTCACCTTAAGAAAGGCTAAAGTCAGTCAGATCAAACAAAATCCATTACACTTCCAATAAGCTTCATTCAGAGCCCATCGGCCTCATGTGCAGAACAGCTTACAGAGAAAACACGCACTTCAGTGACCTCTGTCTCAGGTCTAGGCTGTGACTTGCCTCCACTCCCACACATAGCAGTCTCCCACTGAGCCTCTGAAGCTTCCAGCTTCTTCTAGGTTCACAGAAATTACTGCTCCCCATTCAGTAGCAAGACAAGTTATGGAGATACAGATGTGATAGGCAGGACGAATGCTGTGGGGACAGGAACGTGACCTTGGAGCAAAGAGTTGTGGAGGTAGAGCTGTGGTGGAGGGGTAATAGGGCTGGACTGCCAATAATAATAACAATACCAGAATAAAGCTATACTTTTATTTATGAACTATATGGGTAGCACTCTATTAAAAATTATTAATAATTATTTTTAGGAGAAAGAATGAAGATACATGGGCCCCAGGTAAGCAGAATATCTCATTAATTAAAATTTTTATAATCATTTTGCCATTTAATATATTTTTGAAAGCAGGCTGCAATTTTGCTAGTGTTAACTAAAGGATAAGAGAACTCACATCTGCAGTCCTACATTATCTCACTTAAATTCATAGTTTATGTAGATGTCTTTTACCCCTCAGTGATTATAAATAGCATATTAAAGTATGATGTTATGAGCTGTAGAGCACATAAACTCTTTGACTGTTCACACAGGTATGCCTGCTTAATCTAAATTCTTTACATTTCTCTTACTAAAACAAGGAAAAAAAGCTTATACAGATTTTTGTTTGCTCTTTTTCAGGAACCTTTGCCTCCCCCACGGTAAGATCACTTAAGAGACTGCTTACCTGCTGTCCTCGGGGATCTCAGTGCTAGTGAACGCTCACATCTGTACTGCTCATGGTAACGCGATGACTGGAAACAAGCCAGCATGCTTTTGCTACATGGCTCTCTTTGGACTTTTTTAGGTTCTGATATGAAATTAGGGAGAACAAAACATGATCCACAACTGTTCATAGCAGGAGCTTGGGCCTGCATCTTCCAAATCAACTTGACTGAGCCTAGGACCAAGTCAAAAGCCTAGAAATCTTGAATCTGGTTCAACCCAGATATAAATTTCTGGGGAAAAAGATCTTCAAACAATTTTTATTGGTGCCTTAGGCTCTGTTCACCACAATAATATTGTCTTTGTTGCTTCTTAAATATTTCTGCCAATTTATTTTGCTACAAATCCAAATCATTTCCATAGAAATCAACTGGAATATTGCTACTTATTCCCACAGAAGATGGACTAAGCTCTATTCCACAAATATATTGTTCTATGATATGCCCACAAACAAAAAATTAACTGCTTCTTGATCTTTGCAACTCCAAACAATAACTGCTACAATTAAGACATCCTTCCAAAAGGTCATCCAAGACTGACAAGCTTATTCCAACATGCCTACACTGACTGCCATAAGAGCTATAAAGAAGTTTAAAATATGATTGGCATTATAGACATATTTAGATTATTCCCCAAGTTAAAATATTAAATAAGAGCATAAAAAGACAGGGTAGCTTCACAAATTCAAAACTGTAAAAGTGCAGAAAAAATAACAACATTCTTATTCCATTATGCTACAAAATTTCACTATTGATTCAACTTGTATTATGGTGGCCAGAATGGTTCTTAATTCTCCCACCTGACTTAATTTTGGTCTGTACCATGCAAATGCACAAGGGTCCCTCCCCAGGAGCCCACCACCAAAGGGCAGGTCTGCCGTGCAGCATGGATGCCCCTCCAGTTTTACTCACCTGCCCTCTGTGCTACAGCTTCCAGTTGGAGCTGAGCTGTGACTGGCTGGTCTCAGGGCACGGGCAGAGTGTGCCCACATCTGCCAGAAAACACTGAGCATGTGTTAGCTGTGAGTTTTCTGGGATGAATAGCATTTTTTTCCTGTGTGTCTGAACTGCAGTGTGTTCCCTGGCTGGACCTTATACATGGCCATATCCACCCAGAAAAATCAACACTGGAGAGCTGTACTTGGCACATGCTGGTGAAGCACATGAAAACAGGGTTAAGTGGCACGTAACACAGTACAGTAACATCTTGCAAATGTAGAATATTATCCAAAATTATTATTGCTATTGAAAGGCCCCAAGAAGCTCCTGGACCTGAGCTAAGCTCAGCACAAATACATTGAAATCCTCTCAGAAAATTCCAGTGTTTTATATCTTGAGCTTGCACTTACAGTCCCTGTGCCTCCTTTATTCTCTAATAGTTTTTCAAATTCTCCTTTGACTTCTCTAGGCCTCTGAAGACACTGCCAAAGCAGTATCAGCCACTTCCTCCAGAGCCAAAGATAAGCAGCCAGTTCTTTCACATGAGAAAAACACTCAGCCAAGCTCACACCTTTCCAATATCAGCAAAAGTCACAAGGTACGGGTGCATTCCTCATCCTATTCCCTGAGGAAATACTCCAAATTCCAAAGCACTCTCCCCAGGGAACCCACAAGACTTTACCTCCATCCCACCTCTTATTTTACTTAAGGAAAAAAAAAAAAAACGTTATTCTTTAGACAGCTGTGAATAATTGAGAGAAGTACTATTTAGTGTAATGTGACACTAGCATTTTTTAAAGAAAAAACTGTGAAAATAATGGCAAAGAAGTGAAGGAGTAGAAAAGTAGGCAGGACTTTCATGAACAATTTGTTTAAGGTTTGTCCTATTTTTTCTTACTAACATTTAGAAGATTTTCATCCACTTCTAAGTAGAAACAACTGCACTTGCTTAGGACTCTTAGTGAATCAAGTGATGGGGAAATGCACTGACTGCACCAGGCATACAGAAATACACTCCACATATCAAGGATGGTACATTCAGCAAAAGAAATTACTAATCTGTAGCCGGAAGTCTTACTCCAGCCTGAGACCAGTGAATCCAGACTACGAGTTGCTTCCTACCCTTTCCATCTTGCCCTCCTCTATCATACAACACCCATGGTCATTCAGCGTCCTGACATGAGCTCCGAGTCCTGAAGCACAAACTGCTTGTGTCCAGCTGTATGACCAGGCATAGGCATATGTCAAGTTATGAGTCTGGTTGCTTTTTGCACACAACACATGTATGTAGTCAGAGGAGCATGTATGTACACTGCTCATTGCCATGTAACCATATGCATATATGCTCTTGCTGTGTGATGAAAATGCACTTTCATAAATGGGGATGGTGGCAGACACATGTTGGGAAGAGGACTGACACACATTCAGGGGCCACAGGGTATAATGTTCAAATGCCTCTCAATTAAAACCTATTGCGTCCAGAAGTTTGGGCACAACTGAGCTGTGTCAATCCTGTCCATCCTTCCTTAATGGTTTCAATTTCAGTTCATCAGGATGGAATTTTGCTTCATTTTACAAAGGTCACTACAAATCCCATGGGGAAAAAAAAGCTTACAGAACAATGAAATAATCTTCTGCTTAAAGTTAAGTATATACTGAAGGAGTGAGCTCTAAGTATGTGTTGGGTTTTTTCCTGAATGGTGCTTAAATTCTTTCATGGATTAAGTTCCAGAAGCTGTTGGTTGTTAAGACATTTTATGAATACGAAGTAGCTTCATATTCAGATGTGTGACCTGACCTATAGCTGCGAAGTTCCAAGTCCAATGACTGATCCCCTCCCTTGGTAGGGCAGCACATACACGGAAAACTCTGCGAGACCTGTGTTTGCCAGCAGACATCAGTGTGCAGAGAAATTGGATTTGCAAGATCCTATTATAAAGCCAAATTCTGTAATATAAATACACGTCACTTCTTATTCTAGATGTAAAAGGCAGCAACAAAAATCACAACTGCCAAACTCCACTTCTCATTGCAGTTATAGATACCAAAATATTTCTAATAGTTTGTTGTTTGGGTTTTTTATTGTACTAGGCTTTTTAATCATATGAGTAAGAGGAGTGGCACAGACTAAGACCACACATGATCTGGGGAAGGCACTTCACAAATTTCCCACACAAATACTTCATGCAAAATATTGCTCACCCATCTTCAGTCCTTTGTAAGAAGAAAACATGTGTATGAGCTGCAGTGTGGAGCAGTACAGCAGTACAGCCATTATCTGCTAGACTGTAAGCAAAGCCATCAAACTGCAGATGTGATTCAGGAGTGAAAGTCCTGTTTTCCAACAAGATTTGGAAGACATAAAATTAAACACATCATTATTTATACACTCTATAAATAGCCTCATTAAAAAAAAAAATAGGCATGTGCAGGATCCTAGAATGCATCTTAGAAGCTTTGGTGTGATTTAAACTTACATGTGCCTGAACAAGTGCTGAAAAATTGTTCCCACGGTTTTCTATACCAGGTCTTCCTTTTGCACTCACTCTGACTGATTTAGCAAAAAAAGTCACTGTTGTATTTTCTTGGTCCAGGAGGTAAGCTAAGCAGGCACTAAATCACAGAGCCTTTAAAAAAACTGCAAGATGCTTATCCACACCTTATGTTGCTAAATAACTTCTAAAATCTGGTCCTCTATCTCTTTTATTATGAGATACATGCTGCTAAAAAGCATGAGTGTTTATCATACCCAGGACATCTAACAAAAGATGTCAGACAATACACTGTCACTTTTCGGGAGGAGAATATTTTCTGAGGAACTTTCTCAGGAAAGGAAGATAATACTACTGATCAAGTATATCAGGAGAAGGCAGAAAAATACCTAAACACATTGAATCAGGACCATGAGGAGCATTCTGCATTCCTCTTTCCCTGGTTTGCACCCCCTTTTCTCTACACTTTCAATTATGCCTCTGTGAATGTTTAATTTTTGAAACTCTTCAGTCTTCAAGGAGCTTCCCACCATTTATAGCTGACTTGAAAGTTCATAATTAAGACTTTGGCATGAGATGAAAAGTGGTTGAAGAAAGCTGATAATCATTCATATCTTTTCTCCCCTCCTCCCAGAATAAATCCTTAACAAACTTTTCTCATTTATCATAATGAATTCAGTGAATGCTATCCTCTTTCATGGAAGTCCATAACCTTCTCCTGCAAATAATTTATGCAAAAAAAATAACCAACCTCTGAATTTCTATAGTTGTAATAAAATCCTTCCCTTGTCAAGGGCTGTTAATTGTCAGTGATGATGTAATCAAAGTATTTAAATACTCAGTGTGATTTTATGATAATGAAATGCTTTGCATATAATTCTTTCTTTTCCAGACATCTATCTGTTCAGGAACTAAATGAAGTAAGTCATCATCTCTGTATATATTAGAACCATAAAATCCATACACATTCCATGGCTGCACAGCCTCTCTTGTAACAGTATTTTAGCCTATTAGGTAAAGATACTATAAGAATATTAGCTTTTGGTCATAAATGCATCTATCTTTAATGTGTGTAGTATTCTCAATATTGCTACTTTCTGCCTGGCAGGTAAGTTCCTGAAGTTGCCTGCAGAAATAAAAACAGACAGACAGTGCAAAGCTACCTTCCCAAGTATCCACATAAAAGCGTATCTCTTAACTGCCATACGCTGTGGATACTTATGAATGGTGAGCAGCAGGAGAGACACTCTTTGTCAGAGAAATAGAGGTTCCACATAGATTTTTTAAAAGCAGAAAACTGAAATTATAAGGTCAATACAGGAGTGTAATAGTATTACTCTGATGTAAATACAAGGCTACCTCAAAAATAAGATGACCCTTTTCAACAAAAGAAATAAAAATTGACAGATTTTATATTCAGAATGAACCTCAGCTATTATCCCCCAGCTCCCTTCTCACACTCTCCTTCCCCAAGGCTTCTCAAGCTCTGCAAATCCATCACCTCAGACAAATGGCAGCTTTACCTGCAAGAGAGCTCCGGCAGCAACTGAGGGGGCCACCACAGTGCTGCTCAGACACCGGCATGGTCCTACGGCTTCCCCCAGGTGAACCCCTCGACACCTGCCCAGCAAGGTGGGGGCCCCAGCCAGAGCCCTCAGAGCCCAGCACAGCAGCACAGCATGGCCATCCTGCCCAAGCTCACACTCTGCCATGTCCTCAAACCTCCTGAGCTGTGAGCAGCCCTGTAAGCCCTAGTACGTCCCCCAGTTCACCTCCCACTAGCCCCATCCTCCAGTTCACAACCTGCCTTCCTCACAACCAGTCTGTAAAGCCTGTGTCCAGAGGGCAGAAGCTGAGAGAGGTGATGCTGGCAATGCACCTATATGCATATATAAAGCAGAAAGAAGTAACCTTTACACAAAGGCTAGTAAAGGCAAGTGTTTGGTTTGGTTTTTTTTTCAGCTCCCAGTTTCTGTAAAAAAGTTTTTAACAAGTTTCTTCATTTTCTATTTAGGCCAATGAAGTAACACAGAGGACATGGCGTTAGCAATAAAGGGGTTTAAGTTATGAGGAGTGGTTTCCTTTCAGATGTATTAAGAGATGCAGTCCCTACAATAATGCAGTGTTAGAAGTATGTTTGTAAAATTCAGAGATAAGTTATAATTTACAGCATTTTGTGTTTCTTACTGAATGTTCCATTTACTGCACTAATGCATTTCTATTGTATTGGGTTTTCTATCTCATTGCAAGGGAACAGAGGGAAGTAAAGGATCTCTATACTAGTTAAGCCCAGCTATTCCTATCACAGAGGGCTGTAGCACAACTGTGTCAACTGGTCTAGCTCTAACTTTCAATTTCTTCTCCATGGGTCTGACTGGGAGGCATTCCCAAACCTCAGTCCTCCCATGGTTAGAAATTCTTTTAGTTTGAAAGATTATTACAAAAAACGGTTCAATTGCAATATTTTAATTAATATTAGTAAAAAAATATATATATATTGGCAAGAAAGATAATATTTTCACACAAAAAGATTTGTCTTGTCCTAGATACTGACTTGTTACAAACCAAATATGAAAACACCCCCAAGAATAAATATCTTACATTTGTAATAAATATTTCTGGCTGGGCACTATACAGCTGCACAAATACTGCAGCACCTAACAGGCTCTTAGTCTGGCTACATCTTAAGGAGAAATATTGTATATCTCATAACATGGAGAAAATAAAATTTAATTTGGATCACATCCCATTCACATGGATCCAAAGACATAGTTTCAGTGTGACGTGGAGGAGGAATAGCCTGCTCTTGTCAGTGTTTCGGACACCAAACTGCAGGCCAATACATTTGAGAGCTGGACTTTCCTTCCCCAGGACTCAGACAGGCTGTAGGAAAGGGTCAGTAGGGGCGTCCTGAAACTGGAGAGGACAAATGCAAAATCCTGTCCCAGGGTGGACTAAACCCATCGGCAGCAGCTCTGCTCAAAAGGCCCTGGGGACAACAGGCTGAACACAAGCCACTGGTGTGTCCTTGGTGGCCATAAGAACTAACAGAATATTGAGCTGTATCAACAGAAGCATAGCCAAGAGATCAAGGGAAGGGACTATCCCCTTTTACTTATCACCCATTAGACAACACCTGGAGTACTGCACAAGGCTGCAGCTGACAGAGAGGAGTGGGCCAGCAGAGTCACCAGTACAGTCAGGGCATGCAGCACCTGCCCTGTGAAATGAAGGGGATGGGGCTGGGCACCCTGCACCTAGAGCGGGGAATGGCTCGGGGGGAACCCAACAGCAGCCAGCCAGTGCCCCAGAGATGATTATCAAGAAGGCAGAGCATGGTACATTACAGAGCGCACAGTGGAAAGACAAGAGGCAACAATCTTGAAGTGAGGGAGGTTTCAACCAGAAATAAGGAAGAAAATTTAATGATGAGTATTTATAAGGGTGTTGGAACAGGTTGCCCAGACAGGCTGTGAAATCTATATTCCAGAGGTTTAGAAGATCCAGCTAGTCAAAGCTCTGAGACCAGGTCCCATCTCATAGTTCACCATGCTTTAAACAGGAGCTTGGACCTGCCTAACTCCCTTCCGACCTGAAGAAGACTATGAACTTCTAAGTAATGGGTAAACATTATTAGGGAAGTAACTTTTAAGGAAGACTCGAAGTGCAGCATACAAAGAGGAAAACATTCTTCTCTTTAATACTTATGTATTATAGTCTTGTGTATCAAATTAACAAACAAAATAATTACTATTCCCATGTGAATCAAAATACAGAAATACAGTGAAAGTTTATGAGTCAAATTCTGGTCTTTAGACAACTGTCTCTCATTCACTTCTTTGTAACTTAATATGCTGAATTAAGATTCTCCACACAGTGATCTTGAATCAGTTAAGGAGCCTGAGAAGAAATTACTGATTTTAAGCTTTGGATAGTATATTTCCAGTCAATCAAAATCAATGTCTTGATTTAATAAAAGACCAATGAAGGAAAATCATATTGTAAGTTAAACTGATGCACAATAGTTATCAATAGTTAATAGTATAAATATTTAATAGTACATATATACACACTATATAACTATACAGTACATATACTACTCTATATCCTATAAAACTATAAATCAATAGTTAATAGTATAAATATATAAATAAATAGTTAATAGTAGAAAACGGTGATCATTGCAATAAACCATATGTTCACTTATACCACTAAAAATATAGTTCCCATTGTTGTCAGTGGATAAACATTCAGCCTGAATTTTTGACGAAGTTATCAGGTATTATGATTGAATGTCTACAATTATTTTTTTTTTTTAATTAAAAGATAGTTTGGTCTGTTGGGGTAAATTCAAGCTGGCAATCAAATGAAAAATATTTACAGTCTATGTTATCATTTTATATAGGTACCTGGAAAAGAACAAGGTTAGTATTTAATAATATTAATTTGTTGCCTTTCCTTCATATTCCATGAACAAAATATTCTATCAAAATTAAAGCTGAAGTAATAGGTATAGGAACCTGACATCTATCCTGCTATGTAGGATCAGGCCATCTGGTTTTATATTTATATGAGCAAGAGACATCCCCCAGGTATACATCTGCTTTGAATAGAGATTTACAGTGACCTCAACAGTTATGGAAGATGTAGCAGAAAAAAAGAATTTGACTGGGCATTAACTACAGTTATTTGGGTAACTAGGGTATCACATTTGTGCTAAGCACATCAAAGTCTTAAGGCTTTGGGGAAAATAAGAGTGCTAGAAGCTAAAAATCTGAGGGAAGGATATCCCAAAGAGACTGGATTAATCTGATCTGCACAGAAGACATCACCTTTCTCTCCATTTTGCTCCTCTCTCATAATCTGAGGGCGAGAATTTTGAAAGAAAGTTTTTTAAAAGCTTTAGGTTTTTAAAGCTACAAAACCCAGTGTTGTTTGTTTTGTTTTTTTTTTAAAAAAGTTTTAAAAACATGTCAATTCTTTAGATGTACATACAGCTTTGAAAAAAACAATTTAAGCCACTGGCTGAGTACCTGTGCAAGAAGGTCCATGAAAAATAAAGGTATTCTGAAATACTCTGAAAATAGATACAGACTACGTTGATTTTTATGATATTTACACATTGGTGTTAATGAGTTCATCATTTCCTCTAACATTTCTTTTTCTGGATTAAGGCATAGTTTGCTGATTTTCAGCTAGAAATAGTATCGACTGCATTAATACATCCAATGACTATCTATCCTGTCCTATAAAAAGGATTTATAAGCCCTCCATAAACTTCTAGTACAGCATTCTACATTATTCACCATTATGTTAAGACATATTTGGCATCAGCAAAACCTGTAATGTTCACCACATAACATTCAGTACTAGTATAAATGTTTCCCACTGAAATCATTAGCTGACTCATTTAAGCCAGACTGATTGCACCTTATAGGTTTTTCTATTGAACTGCCTCCCCTTCATATATTATTTTAGTTAATTTATTTCACAGTATTTGCTATATACTGTCAAAGTTACATATAAGAGGAAATAATAAGTTCTTATTCTTATTAATAGTTACATATTTGGGAAAGGAACCTGAAATACCTTCTCAAGCAGAGCAGTATAAACCAAAGCATCATCCTGAAGCCAGGTAGGAATATAAGAATTTCAGTTTGTACTGGATGTTTTGAGGACTAAACGTTCTGCTCTAGAAAATTATAAAAAAAAAAAAAAAAAAAAAAAAAAAAAAAAAAAAAGACGATATAACTTTCTGATGTCATGTTTTGTTTTGTCCTGATGCATGACAAAAAACATCTTTGAGAATTGCTTTCAAGCTATTGTAACTACACATTCAATTTTTATCTTTAATAGCGTACTACTGTATTGCATTTTTGCCTCACTTTGTGATAGGGTGTTAAATATACTGTATAAAGAATCTCTGCCATCTCCAGCCTCAGCATTTCCTCTCCCACTTATTTTCTATTTTTATATACAAAGAATACAACCTTGGCCTTTCAAAGGCCAATTATTTTTCCATAGAAATCTGACACAGTTGCTACTGTTTTTCCTTTTCAACCCACACAAATTTTTTTTTCTAAATGTGCTTTTAAATCTATAGCCTCCTAAAGTACATGACAAAAAATGAAAGTATAGGATACAGCGTTAAGAAGTGTATGAATGATTTAAATGTCTTTCCTAGACAAATACCGAATCTCTCATCTAGCCTTGTTTATGATGGCATTTCCCTAAAATAAGATTACTGTCTGGAATCAATGTGACAATATTTTGTTTCTTCTTGTGTGGTACCAGTGGCTCTGTTACGTTAAGCTACTTGGTCAGTGCTCTTCCCAGTGTAACCGTTCTAATAGCACAACAGAATGCCAGCTGGGTACTCAGCAGCAGTCTAGACAATCAGAAAAGGCAGGGAACAACTGCTCTCTGGGTCTTCCTATAGAACTGCGAACATCAGGTGAAATTAGCAGGCAACAGGCTTGAAAAACTAAAGCAAGCTGTGCTTCACTACATATGCATTTAAAATGTGAAACTCTTGCCAAATACTCTTGTGGAGAGTAAAAAATTATATAACGTCAAGAAGTGGCTGATGAAATGAATGGAAATCTGTCAAAAGATGCTAAATAGAAAAATTACCACTCAAAACCCAGGAAGGCCCAAAGCTGCAGTCTGTAGAGGACAGGGTGTTCTGGGGAGGCACAGCTATGTATTGCTCTCTAATATGACTCTAAACACTGCCATGAACAGAAATACTTACCTGACATTACTTTCATTCATTGCTTTTTCCCAGCCTTCAGTGTACACAGAGCTCTAAAACAGGTAAGAACCAGAGATCACTTTGAAAACTAAACCAGGTGTGGATAAATAAGAAATGGGTCAGTGTTTCCACATGTGTATGTCTGCACTGGGGATTTCCAATGCACAGTCAGGGCAAAGGGACTGTAGAAGAAAGCAAATAAAACAATGGCACATGCAAGAGTAGTGAAGAAACAAGCAGAGTTCCTCGCTTGGCTACACCTCATACCTGCTTCAAGCTAAGAAACGCCCAACGTAGAATGCAAACGTTAAACCGTTGCAGATCCCCACACCCAGAAAAGGACAGGGATTTGGACAAGCTACTGAAAGACGGTGGGGAGAGGAAAGGAAGGCAAATTGCTTGGGCATAATAAGAGATAACCACAGAGAAGGAGCATGGTGTGAGCACATCTGCCTCTGCTTTCCCAGGCTGAGATGCAATCAGCTGGGCTAAATGGAAGCTACAGATGTTCAGGACATTATAGAGCAGCTACTATGGGTTTAATGCCTTTGCGTAAACAAATAAACCAATCTGAAGAAATTGCTTTAGATTTATCCCAGATTCCTAGAGGGAAGGACTTGTAGGTGCCATTACCAGGCAGGTCTGTCAAGTAGTTACTATTGGAAATAGGACCTCCCCTGGACTGTGTGGTTTTACCTAAGGGAACGTTCTGGAAACCAACATTAACACTGGTGGGGTGCCCTGTCAAGAAAGGGCCTGTGGTATGGCTTGCCCAGGAACATAGCAATGTCCCTCTGCTCATTTTCCCTGGATTTATGATTGCGAGAACTAAATCCAACACACAGGAGTAGTTTTACTAGATTCATATGCATAGTCTCTCTGATCTTGAAGAGAATACTACAAACACTATTAAAAGTTTTGTTAGCTTTTTGCTGTCATATCATATTCTACCAGTTGTCCTCCAACCCCACTACTTAATTCTTTTAGAAAAACATGGACTCAGTATTTAATGCAAAATTGCTATGTGGCTCATCCCTACCTTTCAGTATGTGTACACATGCTCTGAAAAGTATTTCCATAAACCCGAGACAGAAAAACATCCCAGCATGTACTTAGAGACTTCTGAAAAACAAAATCCTTTTATTAGCCAAACTTCATTATAAGAACTGTGTAAACAAACAGACAAAAAAAAAGCGCCACTATTCTGTGAATTTATGGTAAAAGCAAATACCAGGAAGAACATCCAGACTATATTATTTGTTCAGATAATGTAGGACTCACCTTAAGACACTGCCAGGCTAAACAAGCCCAACACCCCCAGCTTTGTTCCACAGGCTCTGGCTCCCTGTGGCAGCCCTCCACTGAGCCACTTCTGGTTATTAACATCCTTCCACATACTCTGGATACCTGCTAAAAACCTGTCTTCACATAATATACAAAGCTCATCTAGATCTCTGTTCGCTACTGTTCTCACGAGCCTCTCACTCTTTTTCCTAGGTGCCCCACACCCATGCCCACTTCTGACACTTCTTGCCATCCTTCCCCCTGCTCTTGGTCAGTCAGGCTCTCTAGGACAGCACAATCTCCTTTTCCCCCTGTAATTCCTGCCCTTCTGAAACTGCAGGGAGAGAACAAGCAGCCTTTCTCCCTGCTACCCTACAATTGCCTTTTAAAGTCCATATTTAGATTTTAAAATATTTTAAATAGAAATATTAATTTTATTAAATTTATACATAGAAATATCCTTTTTTTAAATCCTAAACACATCAGTGTTAGGTTTACAGTTGGACTCAACCTTAAAGGTCTTTTCCAACCTACAAGATTCCACGATTCTATATTTCTCTCCGTAGTTTTAGCTTTTATTGTTGAAAACAAATTATTTTCTGTGCAAAAACCTCTTCAATTTCTTGACAAACCGTTAACTCCATCCCAGCAAGACCCAATACACAAGCATTGTGAGAGAATTTTCCACTTCTTGTCCCACAGCTTAAGACATACCAGAAAAAAATTTTTACAGAATATACAAAGCACTGGTCATAAAGTAAACATGGTCCTAGCTGTGGGTTCAGGCTGGGGGGTTTTTTTAAAGGGTTTTTTTTTAATAAATTTTAAAGTTTTTTGTGGGTTTTTTTTTAATAAATAAAAAAGCTTTTTTGGATAGCCACCAAAAATGCAATGTGAACACAAATATCAAAATTAGCATCCGATAAGCTGTGACATACAAGCTGATCTGATAAACAGTGACATATTCACATTTTGACAATTCAAACTGACCGCAGAAACAAAATGTAGGTATCTGGTCCAAGACCCTTTGAACAATGATTTCATTTCTGAATGGACTGATTGCCTGCATACCATGGTTGCTTGCTTACTGTCTTAAACAAATGTAATGTGTTATAAACCAGAACATGGTACATGTATGCATGAAACAGTGAAACACAGTGAAGACTATTATTCTTCTGTAAAAGTATGTCTTCCAAGTAAAGTTTCTTTAATATTCTGTCATATACTATGTATGGGCAGAAAAGTAACAAACCGATAAAGCATGAACAATAGATTAAACATAATGAAATACCACTTCGGCAGGCAGTGCTGTCTCTTGTGACAGTAACCAGAAGATGGAAGCCATTGATAATCACATTTTTCCAATTTACTCTTACAATAGACACTAGGTCATTTCTCTCACCAGCACTGCATGAAACAAACAAAAAATGCTTTCTGTTGTAGATCAGGCTATGATGGGTTTTATCTTCAATTAACCATTTTTTCCTTATGTCATGTACCTGCAAACTGCGTTTGACCTACACACTGAAAGCAAACCCTTGCTTTTCTCAGGCTGTTTCTGCTGCATCCTAACGGAGTCAGGCCGAGCCTCTCACATTACCCCATGCTTCGTGTTCCTCCCCATCCCCTGCGTTCACACAGCTCCCCAGTGACAAGGCGAGCGGGCTCCAGCTGGTAAACGGCAGCCCTAAATCTACAGATGGCAAATCACATTTGCTTTGAGAGGAGGGTTTTCAGCTATGTAAGCTCCCTCAGTCTGCTGCCTTCTCAGCAGTGCAGCATGGAGCAGGAACTCACAGCTGGGCACAACCACCTTCATCGTTTTCTTAATGCAAGAACGACCTCACTTCTTGGTCGCTCTTGGAAATTAACTTCATTTGTTAATTGAAACAAGTCACACAAGAACCTGGCAGAGTAATGTTGATTAAAAAACATCAGGAAACTAATGTATTAAATCTCCTGGGGCATGAATCTGAAATCACTGGTGCTTCATTAGCACAAGACCACTCATCTCTGACAGCTCTAAATTTTGAAGGTTAGTATCACAATATTGTATTTCTAAACTGTAAATACTGTTCTCAGATCTACCAAGTACAACTGATAGGGTACAATGAAGCTATGACTTAAGTTTAAAAAATACTTTTTTCCTTCTGAATTTACTTTTACAGGGTCCATGTTAAAGGTAGACAATTCGTCAATGAAGAGGTCACCATCTCCTACACCATACACAGCATGCAAAAATAAATCAAAACATTCACTTGTAAAATGGGAAATGCAATCTCTTACCCAACCCACTGAAAAGGTAAAGAACGCTTCTCTTCATGAAGAGACAGTTTTTTAGAAAACAAGATTATCACTATAGGGTGCACACGCACACACCCCAGCCACAAGTATTGCTGTTTACTGAAAAAATTCCCCCAAGTTAAGCAGTCTGAAAGCTGTGGGTATTCAGCAACCCTGAAAACAGACTAATATGAGCTCTTCAAAAAATGGGTAAGAAATTAGATGTCTCGTTTGATTCAGATTTCCTAACAGGGCTTCTTAATATAGATGCATTAAAATTATTTTTATAAACTCTGCTAAACTTGCTTTATATGCAGATCAATCTGTTTTCACTGGCTTTTGCTCTGGCAGCTGTAGTATATTTCTATACTCTGATTATGTTATCTTAAAATTAAGGATTTAAACAAATATGAATGGTACATTGGAGAGTACGATCGCCATGAAGCAGAGAAGGCACTGTTACAGGAAAACACTGTAAGTACAATTTATCTTAAAACCTGTGTTGCAAACTCTTGGAGAAAATGTCTGTAAACTGTCCATGATGGCTTACAAGTTTTATTGTGAACTAACCACACAATATAATTTAAATGTGTCATACAGGATGAGACATTCTTGGTTAGAGACTGTTCAAAGAAATCAAATGCTGAACCATACGTTTTGGTTGTCTATTATGGAAGAAGAGTATACAACATTAAAGTACGTTTTCTGGAAGAGAGCCAACAATACATGCTGGGAACAGGGCTCAGAGGAGATGATGTAAGATACCATCTAATTTTAATCTGTTATGTCACACTTCACAAGTTCTTAATACTAAAGATTAGTTACAAACACCCCTATGTAACAAACTGGCTGCTTCAAAGTTTATTTTACAATACTCTCATTTCAAGTATGTCTCAGAAGTTTCAAGCACCTTCAAGATAATTTAAAACAGCGTTTCATATATCATGCTCAAATTCAGATTTAAATCAATGTGAAAATTTCCTATAAAGTACTTAAAATACTTCCACCTACTCTAAGTAACACCTGCAAGAAGGCACCATCATCCTGATGCTACTGTAGTGAACCATCGGTCTTCTGCAAAATATTGGCTGCATTTCTGAACTGAGCCTCCCAGATAATTTCTAAGAGTTTTAGTATGATTGAGGAGAAAGAGTTTAGTTTTCTGTGGTTCTTACATTGTTTAATCTTCCCGTAACGGCCCTGATTAAAAAAAAAAAAAAAGGCTCAGATTAGAAACAACAACTGACAAATAAAATACGGTACGCTACAGGATAATGCAGTATGTGTATGGAACACTACAGAATAAAGATATAAAACTAAATTTTCATCATTTTAATAGATTCAACAATTAAGGCAATTTGAAAATTAACTGAACAATACACAAACAATTTTTACTGAACTAAAAGGAAGAACACAATCCCTCCCATCTCTATTAATACCAAAATATATAACATTGTTGCTTGTTCCAACTTGTGCACAGAAAGTCTGTATCTTAAACAGTGGGTCTGGACTGACAACAGTCAAACTGGAAAGGTACAGTTCTAGAATATGGATTTCAAGCACCTAGTTAACCAACAGTATATCTAAGACTTAGCTCTAACAGGCCAAATGTGTAATCATGACATGGTACCTTAAGGGTTCTTTTTTAAGATTGAGTATTGTTTCTAACTCAGAAATTCTCCTGTAGATCCACTACGAGAAAAATCCCAGAATTGTTTCACTAGTCAGCTATACGTAGTACCAGGGAGAGATGACAGCCTCCTACTTCCATGCGCTACTCTCAGCAGGAGACATGAAAATAGAATTAACTGGGCATGAAGCACATATGCAATAATGAACAATATCAGTGGCACCAACCTTGATCAGAAGAGCTACTTCTGTCTCAGGCAGCCTCAAAGGATTCCCCCAAAATGCTTTCTTAAAAACTGTCACCTCAACTTCTGCAGCTCACTTAAGGTTCTTATCTCAGGAGGGTGAAAACAATTTCTAAGGCTGTGAATTACAGCAAAATTGCTGCATATAATTTTTCAGTTCCTGCTAAAATGCTTTCCACAGCAGTCTGCATTGTCCCTCCACAGGGAAACCCTTTGTTTTGCAGTATGCAGTGCAGACAGACCAGCTGCTTTATCTAGATTAGCTGAATATTCCCTCTTCACCTGCCAAAGTGAAAAAAAGCTAACCAGCAACAAACAGGTGCAGACCTATTACATTTCTCCCCAGTTGGTGATTTTATTCAAAGGTTGTCTTAGATGTTCTGCAGTGTGTTTTCACTTTTGGATCAGTCTATTTTCATCCATTGTAAACATGTTTTTCCTTACACATAAATGTAATTATTCAAAGTTTTCCCTATTTTATTGCAACTTTTGATTTTTCATATACAGTTTACAAGTTGTTAACACTTTGTATCGAAGAAGATTTTCGATTAACAACTTTTTTTTTCCCTAATGTGTTTAATTCAATTTTCATGAGTACTTCCATCATTAGTTCTCATATAGCCCTATAAGGCCATAAGGGAGGGAAAAAAACAGTGCTGATCATCAGTGGTTTGTATATGATAGAAGTAACTGAAGTTCCATGCAGCTAAATTATTATCAAGATAGAACATGAATACAAGTAGAGGGGAAAAAAAACATCGCTAACTCCGTAAGTGGAGCTATATATTTTGTTAGCAATTTAGCCAAATGTTCACACCTACATACATATTTAATAAATTATACTGAGCTCACTATAGCTTTATATGATTTGGACTTTAAAGACCAGATCCCCAATGGGACATATATAGAATTCTGACATTTACATTCAAAACTTATCTGTTGTCTTTCTCTACTCCAGCCAGTTTTCAATATTAAAGATCCAGAGATACCTGTAACACTGTTCTTCATGTACGTAGTCTTTCTGAACCTAGAGAGATCAAAATCTTGCTCACATTTAAAGCTGATCATAACACAAAATTTAAATATTCTGATCTCCTTTGCAAAACTAGATCTGCCACACACAAAATACAGGTTTCTAGCATATCTGCAGCATCAGGCTCCACTCAATGCAATAACTGAAAACCAAAGGCAGGAGTAGATTCCTCTTCAAAACAGTGCCTGTTTTATACAGAAGCTTGGAGTACAGCCTGATATGCATCTCTGGATCTCACTGTTCTGGCCACAGATGTTTGCTCCATCCTCACCACTCCCTGACACCATTTGCAGTTAACTTTCAAACCATCAGTCACACAAATCACATCATTTCAATTCGGTTCATTTCAAAGTGAGTCAAAAGGATTTAGTTCCATCTACCTTCATCAGCCATTAAACTGGCCTGTCTCATCAAGATGAGGGGGGACTTCCACAATGCCTTCCACTGACAGCATTATGTTAAAGGTTACTGGCAGGAACATGGGCACAGCGTACACCTGTCGGAGGATGACAGTTCTTTCAACTGAGACAGATGTTTACAAGGTAAATATCTTGTCCACATCTTAAATGACAGTTCAAGGATGAACTGTTCTCATTCAGGATATGCAATATGTAGTCCAGTCCTACCACCACCCCAATGCAATTCAAAACTACACCTTTCATGAGCAATCCTTGAGATCCTAATCCTATCTCCCCTGAACAGTCTGGGGACCAGTAGATAGGACACTCCTATGACAGTAGAGACCAGTTTGAGTCTCTTCAGAAAGTGAAGGAAAATGAACAAATCTGAAGTACTGAATTTTCTTCATCTTTGTGTCTTTAGGCCTAATAAAATATGGGGTTCCACTAAAAGAGCCAGACATAAAATTCTGAACCATCAGTGCTCATCGCTATCACGTCTAAGTTAACTTCATGTTCTAGCAGCCATGAAGAGATCCAGAGCTTAGTATTTTAAATCTCACTAACTCAAATAAGAGTACAGGACAAAATAAAATAGGAAACAATATCTAAGTAACATCTGTGACTTTCTTCATACCAAAGAGCTGCAGCTTAAAGGTACAGTGACAAATAATGTGCCATTAGCCAAGTAAAGCCAAGCTAAATTTCCAAAGCAGGTGAACAATTACAGTAAGCCTTTTTAACCTTCCAACCACTAAAAAACAGTAGAAAACAGGAAAATAACTGGTGCTGATAAAGAGGAAGTCTAGAATAAAAAAAGTAAGGATTACTTTGGTATGGCGTGAAATACAAAGCACAGTTTTGCCTACATGTCTAGTAGCAACAGTGACTCTAAACATAAGGCAAAGAGAAAACAGCAAAGTGGAAGAAATGGATACAGGCAAAAATTATCAAAGCTTTTTAAAAAACTGCAAACTGATTTAGGGATGAAATTTTCATCTTAAAATAATACAGGAACAGTTTCACCAAAGATCTAATAAGATTCTCTTCTTATAAACTAGGTGTGCATCACATGAAGATAACAGAGACACCCATGAGATACCATCATGTACACAATGAATGCCCATGCTTACAATAAATGTTATACAATATAGATATGGGATAAGTATTAATGTCACAGTAAACTTGCTGTGTACAGTTCTAGTAATTTAATACCAATGGAGTCCAAAGAATAGCTCAAGAGGAAAAACAATGGTGTAATGACATCTTAGTGGTGTGATGAGAGCTTAGAAGTTACACACAGGCAAGAGAACTATTTAAACTGAAGGACTCCTAACCACTGAACAGCAGGATTAAGAGACTCCCAGGCAAGACAAATAAGGATAAATACCTTGGATAGCTTTCCATTGCTGTTTGATCAGTTCAGGAATCTCAAACCACACCTTTATCATTTTAGGAATGGGCTTGGAGTATGTGATTGTTTTGAACACCAGAGAACAAGACTAAAATGCTGCTGAGACCCTTCTTGTTCCATACTTTAAAGGGATTTTCACAGCAGCTTTCTCAGTAAACCAGATGAGAAAATAAAGAATATATTTTAAAAGGTACAAATAAACTCGCATTGTGAAGTATCACATACGGTGAATCAAGTGTACCTTTTGACAGGGTAAACTTAGTAATTATAAAACTTATAGTTGCTTCACCTCTTCAGTATTTCTCATCACATCTGGTACCACAAACTTTTACAGGTGATACGGCATTCTCAGGGCTTACACATGCTCCCTTTTTGCCCTAAGCAGCCAGCAGCTTTCTCCTACACAAGACAGGCACACAAAGGAAATAAGAGGATTAAAATCTGGTGCTTTTCCTTTTATGATTGTTTCTAATCTTAATTACATGAAAAATATTACCTATTTCTATACTGTCATTTTCAAGTCTTTTAATATTATAGATAAAACCATCTAGCAATTTCATTTTCAGTTGCTGATTATTTTTCTTTTTCCCCCAGAAATTTAATTCTGTGAAAGAGATCATTGACTTCTACAAATATGTTCCCATCACACTCATTGATGGAAAGGATAAATCAGGAATCCAGAGAGAACAATGCTACCTCACATATCCATTCAAGTCACACAAAAGATATTTTCTGCCTTAATGTCACTGATTTGTTTGTATAAATGTAAATAGAATTAAAATGTCTCCAAAAAATCAGATTAGCCTTCGAATGAGGAGCTCCCCGTAACATTATAAAGCATTCTAAATATTCCACTAAAAGCTTCTCTCCAACTGAGAATACAGATATACTTCGTTTTTTGATCCTTGTATATTTTTTTTAACTTTGAGGATACAGGTAAAGTATATAGCATTGTATTAATTCACAGAAAAGAGTTAAGAGACTGACTCCTGGTATCTTGATGATTGAGCAATCTTCTTATCTTACACTCTACCTTTTAACGCAAGACAAAAATCAAATTCAGTTTTGCTTACCTAAATGTCACTGAAGCTCAGTTAGTAGTAAAACCTAATCAAGCACACTAGTCATATAAAAAATATTCTTGCTTTTAAAAATACATGTGAAGTATTGTTTATCCAAGTACTACCTGTTTAACAATTTCATTCGGTGTGCATATGTTTTTGCACAAAGCTGTGCTCAGCAGTCACTGAAGTCAGTGGGTGTCAGCTAATGCTCACAGGTATTGAAGCATATTGTAAAGCTAGCTTTAATTATATAAATTCTATTTAAGTAACACTTGCTCTTTAGCTTAAGTAGCAGATACTTGCATTCCATATCTGAGCCTTGAAACCACTTACACAGTAGGACCATTATGCAAACAGTCCCTTTGAATTCATACCATGTTCAAATATAAAAATCATCAGTACGAACAGTAGATGTGCTTCAAACTCTGCAAGAAAACATGTTCCAGTGTGTAAAGAACACGAGAAAGCAATTTTTTTCCAGCAAAAAATACAGTAATATTTATTCATATGAGTTTTGGAACGCTTAACTAAATTCATTATAAATATGAAAGGCAAACTTTAGTGTCCTTCCGCAAAGCATCCATAATCTTCCTTTCTAAGCACACTCAGAAGTTTGACTAGGTATTTGGAATATACCAAGAAAGCAACCTCCGTTACTTTATCCTTAGTGAATAGGAACAAGAAGAATGAAAACATTCAAGCCCAAAACATGACATTCCAACCCAATTTATGCTGCAATTGCACAAACTAGCTCTAAAAAAATTTAGCAGTTGGCTGTTATTTCCTTGCAACCTTTTTATTTCTCAATGCTGCATCAACATGAAAGAGAAAATTCATTATAATTTTCTCTCAAACCACTAAGACTGTTAAACTTGAAGGAAATTATTCTGACTTGACATTATCTAATAATAAGAATGAAAATTAACAAAACAGAAGCTAGTAGAGTTTGGCAGAGTTTATAAAAAGGAGAAGAGGTACGATGTAATCTGCTTTGAGAGTTTCATAGCCACCATACAATTTAACTGACAAAAGGTTTTCAGGTTCAAACAAACAAAAGAAGTTTCTAAATTAAATGCATAAAAACCAGTTTATAGATAGATTATGGCAGTGACATACAAAGCTTTGCAGATGTCTTGTAAGCAAGTTTACTGTTTTAGTAAAGACAAGCATTAGTAGTATACTTAAACCACCTAGAGTTTATAGAGCTGAGCAGCAATGCTTCCCCCATCCCCGTACAGTACAGCTTTCATGAGGAATGTCATCATTTTGTGAGTGACAACTCTTACAAAGCAAATTTAAAACTATTTATTTAGTAGATTCTACAGAAAAAGAATTCAAACAGTAGCCTGAACTGAAGGAGTTAAAAAAAAAAACATGGTTAAAATTCCTCCTTTGTTTCATGTTAACAATTTCAGTATTTATTATATGTGATATGACAGAATTTTAAAATGGAAGCTATTTTCACAATCGAAAATGAAAACAGTACTGTTAAGTTTGGCATCAAAGTATATGAAGTGAAAAAAACCCCTCTAGTGTACCCATCTAAAAAAATATAATTCCATTTAAATACAAAATGAGAACTGTCATTTCATTATTATTGACAAAACAGACAAAAGGAAGTTTGTTCTGTGAAACAGGTTAGTCTGATACAAATGATACAAAAACTTTCCATGAGTACATGATGAAAAAGATCTGACTTCAAGCACCAACTATCTGAAGGATTTTAACACTGTATTGCAAAATGATGGAAAAGCAATGTTTCAATTGGTTTTGAAAATAAGCCTCAGTCAAATGTAGTTTTAAAATATTTACATTTCAATGTAGATATGATACATACTTTATCAAAACAATGTATAATCTGCTGGAAGTTATAAAAAAATATTCCCAGCTTAAACTGTTTACAAAAATGCACCAACAGTGAAAAATTAGGGACTACCTTTTCTTAAGAGAAGTCCCAGTTCAAACATAGAACATACATCCAGCATTAGAGTCAGTATTGATTTTCTTACCTGTAAAAATGCAAGAAGTGATTTTCATTGTAAATATGTGCTTCGGTATAGTTCATTCTGTATGATTTTTAAATTAAATTGACAAAATGATGAAAAAAATCCATTGTTCATGTACAGAAACATTAAACTTCAGTAACATCCATCCCTCTTTACTAAAAACTTGAAATTTGGCCCTGATTTAGGAAAGCGTTTAAGAAACTGACCAATGTTTACACTGCACTGAAGTCAGTGGATACACTTTAGACATAGGTATGTAACCAGGCACATGCTTACATGAGTTGAGGCCTACAAAAAATATATTCTAACAACCTCTAAATCTGTAAGATAAAGAAGGATGAAAGATTGCACTGAAAATCTGGTTCACCATTGTCAAAGTAAAAGCTGTGCAACACAGTTTCAAAAAAAATCTTAATTTTTCAGCAATTTCCCCCCTGTAAATAAGCATTAACTCACCAACTAGAGTTCTAACCAAATGCCCTATGCTTCTATCAGGCTATAAACACATGGTGGTAAAGTTTATGTCTGGCTGTTACTCCCTTGGATTTCAGAGCAGCCTTGAGACCACATAGGGGAAAGCTTCTCTCTCTCCTACCAGTTCAAGCCTGATGGTACCTCTGGCTCTGCCTGTTGAGAATAAAAACGGTACAGAAAGCTGACAGTGTTCTGCTCGCTCTCATCTACACAATATATGCTAGGTAAAGACTAAGTACTAAACAAAATTAAACTTTTTAGTGCTATCTGACCTTGATCGCAGCAATTCTTCATTTACACCCTTGTATCTCCTCTGAAGTCAGCAGAAGTGGTTTCATTTCACTGAAAGAGTACTTGCATTTAAGTTTTATTTTTTAAGCATGGTGCTTAATTTGCCACTAAAACCCATGATACACACTTGCTGCCCACAGAGGATCAAAAGTGCTTTTCAATACACACATACTTGATCTCTGAAACACCACAGTGTAATAAAGCAAACTAACTCTGTTAAATTTATAAAAATGTTACCATCTAAGACTTTAATCTATACAGACCTAGCACAAACCAGTTAACAGCACAGTATCCTAGCACAGAGAACAGTAACTAGAAAGGTGTTTGCATAGCAATTCTTTCTCAGATTTCTCCTATGGAACAGATGAAGTTGACCTCCAATACAAATTTCAGACATGAGAGTGCAAAGTAGTGCTTGATCCTCACTATTGGTTTCTCTGTATCTCCACTCTCTTCTTCTACTTTGCTAACAGTAGAGATCTTTCGGCAAAATAAGTTGTCTCAGTCTTCCTTTCCAAGCAAGTTAGTGGCACGCATTAAGAGGGGAAGCCTCCCCCAGTCTCTCACTTAATGCTTTTTTGCTGGAAGAGAAAGAACATCCCAACCCTTGGTTGCCTCTATCAAGTGCCTCTGTCCATGACTTATCCATTCTTCTTGGTCCATATATACTCTTCCACAAAACCAACACTTAAACAGACACGGAAGTGTTTCAGCTGGTGAAGTTTCCACCACCTGGTAGTTGTTTTTATGGGTCTTTTTCAGTTTCATTTTTAGCATACTCTGCTTTTTTGCTTGGTTTCCTGTCTCAACATTCTGAATAGTAAGACGCTTTCGATAACGTTTGACACCAAGACAACTACTTGTCCTTTCTGATAGAACTACTTTCAGGACTTGACCTTTATACTTGTTGATAGTCTTCATGACATTAATTATCTCTGGTGAGTCAACGTCAGGATGGTTTAGTACCACAACTGGCTGGTTACGACGAGGGCATTTTATCAATTGATTCATTCTCAGAGGGACAAGCCGAAGTCGTCTTGCTGTCAACAGATATGACATGTCAGAACTTGAACTGGTTTCCGACTGAGTTCTTGTTTTCCTCTTTGGAAGTTCCCTGAAGCTTGCTTGTTTTGCCTTATTTTTGGGACCTAGTTGGCTTTTTGAATAGGGTTTGCTTTGCTTACCCACGTCACTGCTTTTCTGAAATGGTACACCACTTTGTTTGCCATGATTTTTAACACTTGCCTCCCGCTTTGGTCTTTGCCTGAGCGATATACTTCGGGACTCAGCATTTGGTTCACTCTGGTTAGGCAAACATGGCAAATTCCTGCTAGGTGTCTCAGAAACACTGACAGGAACCGGGCGAGGCAGAAACATTTCATTGCAATACACAGGAGGAGCTGATGTTTCACTCCTGTTTTCTATTCCATTTGAATTGTGATTGCTAGTAGTATTCAGCACTCTCAGCATTGTCCCTTTGGGGATAAACACTGGAGAAGCAACATGGGAATTTTTAGTTACTCTGCTTTTAGCGGTTCTTGCAAATGTAAGCAACTGATCTTTACTGTGGTCTTCACTACTAGTCATACTATTCCCATGATGCACTTGAGGCAAAGATGCAGACTGTTCCACTTCAGTGTCTGGAACAACTCTCCCACAGCTTGCTGAATTTTCTTGAGGGACAAGCACCTTTTTACTAGAAGCCTGACATCTCAAAGGCATGGATTTCATGTTAGATTCAGCAGCAGACATGAGCTGAGCAATCTTTCTACACAACACTGTTGCTGACTTCTTACTGCGTGTTGTGTCATCCCATCTGACACCCTCTGGAACATTTTCAGCTCCAGAGCTCAGAGAAAATACAGACGAAATAACAGGTCCCTCAAAAGGGTTGCCTTTATTTTCCATCTTCTGTGGTTCTGATTCCAGAAGACGACTGTTCTTTTGACTTACTGTTTCAGCTCTCTTTACTTTGCCAAAGCCAAAAGTCATGTTCTCGCAGGGTAGAGTTTTAGTGACATGCCAGTTTTTCCCTGCTTCAGAAGATGTAACAGATTTTTTATCAAAACCCTTATCAGCTAAATGTGTTTCTGTAGAGCTGACTGGCAGAATCCTACACTCTTTGTCATTTCTCTTCAGAGTCAATGTATCCTTTTGTTTAAGGACTGCAGAAGAGTAATTTTTGCCCTCCTGAACAGCCTCTACTGAAATGTTCTTGGAACTTTTATCTTCAGAAATAGCAGTATATTTTGGAAGGGGTATATCCACACCTTCTTCATAACAATACAAGTCATAACTTAAGTTATTTTTTCCATCTACTTCCCACCTTGAGGATTTAAGATCACTTTTTTTATCCGTACTATTCATCACCAGAGAAGGAGAACAAAGTTCTATAACACCTGAATGGACATCAATACCTTTCACCAAATGAAAGCATAATTTTGATGAATCTTCCCTCTGTATAGATACAGAGTTACCATCTGAGAGTTGAGAATCAGAAAAAACAAGACATTCAGAATTCTTGTCATACGTACTATCCAAATTAAGCTGATTACTAACACTGGATAATTTTTCTACATTCACTTCCATGGTTAGTAATTCATTTTGAGATACAGATGGTTTTTTTCCTCCTGCAGATCGTTCTACACCTTGATTCTCAAGTTCCTCTTCAGCACCATTCACAGTTTTGGAAGTTGCTTCTTTCATAGGAATTAGTTTAAGAACCAGCTGTTGTGCTCCATTCACTATTTTAATCTCTACTATCTGAGCTAAACAGTTAGAAGGAACTACAAGTTCAGAAGGTGCGATTACTGTTAAAGGCATCCCAGGTTGTAAAGGCTCTGTTTTTGGAGAATAAACTTCAACTTCCACACTTTGATTCTCACATATGCTTACTTCAGATGCCTCCAACATTGTTTTATCCTGGACTGATGCTGTGTTTATGCTACATTCTACATCATGAGATGAACAGACTGGTTTAGTTCCTTTACCTGGCATCTTGCAACCCATATTCGAAGACGAATTTGAAAGTTCATTCTGAAATGAAATTTTATCATATTTCTGCTTTTCAAATAAAGTGCTTTGACTTGGCTTCTTTTGCTTGTGGTTTATGATAGTATTTGACAGCTGTTTTGTGGGTGTTTCATGTACTCTTCTTGTATGTTTTACTATATAGTCATGTCTAACAGCACCATATTCACAGTATTCACACTGATACGGAAAAGTTCCAGTGTGTTTCACCAAATGTCTCTGGAATTCTCCTTTGGTATAGGATACGTAACTACAGTGGGAACAAATAAATTTAATTTCTTCATGTTGACCTACATGCTTTTTATACTGTAAAGGATCCTTTGTTGAAAATCTACATTTATCACAGTAGTATTTACCTGGCAGAAAGTTTTTAACTTTAAATGTTTTTTGGATTTTACTTGGGGATTTTTTTTCACGTTTTTCAAAGATTACTGCATTGGCAGCCTCAGGAACAAAATGGAAAGATGATGGTGTAATATGATTGCACTTCTTGCAGATGAAATTTTTGTCTTCAGTCCACCCAAGCTTCTTATGCTTTTCTATATCTTGCACTGAAATTTTCTGAACACTTCTGCATTTTATACAGCTTATCAGTGACAACTTATTGTTCTCAGCCTCAGTCCCTTGGTAACAGCAGTTTTGGTCATCATCCCCTTTTGAGGGATTTGTTTTATCCTCAGAAGATTGCTTTGGGGATGTAGTTAAGGAAGTATTTTCATCATTAACTTGGCCAGGATACAACCTTGGTAAAATTTCCCTCATTTTTTTCAACTGCATTTCAGAAAACGTGACTCTGCACCAGTTTTGTCAAACACATCAGCAAGAGACAGAATGTTTTCTTGATATTAGTCTTGTGTATGCTGCTTATCAATCAATCAATCAGGCCACCAATCTTCAGAATATACACTTTGGAAGAAATGGTGCTCAAGCAACTTCATCCATATTATACTCCACGTTCTTATTTTTATTCAGTCAACTTGCAGCACTAAAGAATAAAAAGCAGAAGATTAAGTCAGTTATGATTCACTGATCACTGAAATACAATGAACTAATAATTGAATTATTATTAGTGGACTACAGCTGAATTACAAAGTGCAAGTCAATATGCCACTGATTGTATTCTGCATATACAACCATTAACTCTAAGCAAAACATACCAATCAATAATACTCTAATGTTTGTTCTTACTCAAAAGGTTCAGAAATTCATAAAATTATCTGCTATGCATCAAGAACTAAAAAAGTTCATGCTATTTCTTCCATGACATAAAAAATTTTACATTTAAGACATGTATTTATATGCCTAACAAGACAGAAACTTGGTAACAAAACTGAGCAGCAGAATATTATTTCAGTCCATATACAGCCCTTAACTCAGGAAAACGCTGCACTTCCATGAAACACTGCAAGTAACACTCATTTGTGAATCTCAGCAGGAAAAAGGAAAGTGACTACAATGGTTACTAGAAACACTCAACTATAGACCTGTTTTTAAATATAAGCATTAAGTTAGCATGGAAATGCCTGAAGTACTAATTTTCTTTTCTAATCAGTGGCAATGTTTCAGATGCAAACAGTCTTAAACACTAATTCATAACATGATGTCATTTATACTTCACATGTTCTCAAAGTGAAGAAGTCAAAACAGTCTGTGGCTGCAAAATTAATTACTTTCACTTCTATTAATATCACAGCATAATCGCTTCTATGTATGTGGGCAAGCATATAACTCACTCCATCATTATAATATGGAATGTGTCCATCAAGTAAAATAATGC